GTCAAATATTTCATCATCTGTCTGATTCATTTGAAAAGTTGTTGAAAACACATGTCAATTATTGATTTATAAACTGTTAAAAAATTTTATAAAATCTGTAAATTGTCTGAATTTTATCCGTAATCACTTCAAGAACAAAACTTTACCTAGTTTTAGAGATTAAACCATCAATTTTCATCTCATATATTATCGTTTTAAAAACTGTTTAAAACCCATAAATTTATCTAGATTCACGTCAATAAGGAAAAACTACCGAGATTGACATATTCAAACCAAGTGCGACGACGAGTTTGAAACACATATCGACAATATCGGATAATTGCGAATCGAAAAACCATTGACAAAATCAAATAAGCTAGTAAAATCTGTTACACAAATTGACGAAATTGCGAAATCGCGAATCGAAAACTAGATCTAGATTGAGAAATCGAGAAATAGAGATGAAAATTACCTCTAATAAGCTTCGATTTGCTCTCGAATAACCTCTAAAAAGTTTCGATTTCTTCTCCAATTACGTCTAAAAAGCTTCGAGTTCTTTTCTAAAGAGATGAAAAGTGCCGATGGCGATTAGGTTTTGGAAGAGAAAATATTGAGAGCGTTCTTTTGTTTCAGGGGTAAATTTGTCCTTCTCGGATAAAATCGTGGCATTTTTGTCAAGGGCTCAGCGTGTGTGGCAGTTTTGCAAACTGTGAGCCCATTTGTGACATTTTTGTGATTCTCCCAAATATTAAGTGGTAGACAATTTATATATTATTTATGTCCCATAACTAAGATAAATAAATTATGGACGAAATTGCCTTCTAATACACAATAAAGCATAAATAACATTGACATTTTCTTCTTTTTAATTATTTTGTCTTTTATCAATTTATTTTTCCTATTTGATATTTATATGATCTAATGTTTATTATTAGAATTAAATCATTTCATAATCTATATGTAAAAAAACAAGATATTTTTCGCATATATTACAATTGAAATTTTAGAAATTTATAAATATTACTCAAAGTATTAATATAATGTTACAAGAAACATAATATTTCATGATATGTTATTGTACTATATAACATGGTACACCATACTAATATATAACATGTTATATATCATGTGTTATATTTATATTAATATAAACATATATGATATTACATGTTATATTTTTATATTAATATAAATATAACACATTATATGATATATAGCATGTTATAAACAATATTCAAAACATATTTATAGGATTATTGATGTGCAACATAACATAACATATGATATGTATAATAATAATATGACATATCATGCTAGTATATGACATGTTATATTCTATATAACATGCTATACCATACAAAAATATATAATATAACATTTTATTTTGATTTTATGTTAAATAGTTTGAGTAATCACAAACATAATAAATGTGAGCAATAACATCTCTAAATGAAATGTCGTTTTTAAGTTATGGTATGTTATATTTTGTGTATGAATATATTTACATAAGTCATCTAAATAATATATTATGGTATGATATATGTAAATATAATATGTGTAATAACAGTGTGCATAAAAAATAAGAAAGAGAAATAGTCAAACCAATTTTTTTTATAATCATGTCATTCTCTTTCCACCTAAATTCTCACATCAACATCTAATTAAAAGAGTATAATGGTCACTGTTAAGTCAATCCTCTTAATTAATTAAAATATATGTTATATCTTTAATTATGCTACAGTAACATACTATTTGATGATGTTTTCCTTGGGTTTAAAGGCGATGGTTTAAAATACGGATCGACCCGTCTAGTTTAAAAAGTATATACGCGACCATGATATTAGTTTTAATTTTTGTTATAAATAAGTTTCATTTATAATTTAAACAAATATATTAATTATATTTATTTGTGTAAGCAGAACCGTTCGCCATGATCAGGCGTATTAAGTCTATGTAACATATCTCATAATGTGTAAAAAAAAAAAAAGAGTTAAAGATCAATTTTGTTATATCATAAATATTCACTTACATTTGAAAAAATTAAGTTAAATCATAATCTAACAACAACTCATAATCTAAGCGGTTAGTATATATGTTTATGATCAATATTTTTTTTTTTAATTTCAAATGAATCTCTTAGCACCACATATATCTAATTAAGTGAATATCTTAGCATTCATTGAACTCGACCCTAAGAATATTTAGACCAAATTTGCAATATAGTCCAGGTAACTTGATGGATTAGGAACGCAACTGACTCTGAAAATATATTGGCTGCAAGCAAAAACAATTTGAGCCTATAAATTAATAATTTTTATAAAAAGTTAAAATGTTGAAAGTGTGATGAAAAATTGTCCGAAATAATATTTGTAATAAAGAGGGTCGCAAGAAAATGTTTGACTTGCTTCCCCTGTTGGCCGGCTCTTGTTAGACCATATGTAACCATCTCCATCCTGAGTAGTGTGGCAACACTACGAAGGATGATTCGGGCTGGATACTGAGTGGCAGACGTACAGGAAACAAATGCACAAAAAAGCAAATGAGCCCCAAATTTTCGTATTCAAAACTCACGCTAGATATGAATTTTCTTCAAAGCGTGAATGTCAAATATATTTGAACTGGTCCACGGTCAAACAATTAATATTATTCACCTTATGCGTGTAATAGGTAAAAGCAAATTGACCTTTACTCCACGGACGATTGAAACATACAAAGCTTATTCTTAGGAGCTCCCCGACCTTTAGACCAACTACGTTAGGCACTATGACTGGTATGGTTAAGGCAAGTTATGCATCCCAGATTCGTGATTTCAGGTATTTGGAATATATAAACAAAGGTGGTAAATGAAAGCCACTTGAGTGTTCCGTACTAAAATTCAAATCTGGCCTATCTATGAAGCCCAATATTAGTCCGGGCAAGTAAAACTCTATAAATATCTTTCTTTCTTTTTTTTGATAAAATGTACATATTATTCAAAAGAACATTTGAGATCATACATTGCATAACCTTATAACTTGGTCTCATGCGTTTAACGAATTAAAACATGAAAGCAAACAGAAACAGAGTAACAACTACCGTAATCTCATGGTTACGGCGTGAAATTACAATGGTAAGACTAACCAAAATCCTTGGAAGAAATGAATACGAGAGTAACACAATTTGGGAAATATATGGAGATCGCCAAAACACAGAAAGAATTTGATGGACGCCCCTTCCCCAGCAGTCCAATACACAAGATGAATCCTCAGTAGATAAAGTCCACCACAACCAATCTAACAACCTGAGAAAACAACTTGGACGAAACTACGACGAACCAAAGAGCTGAGCTCCTCTCGCTAATGCTACTATGACACGAAGCAAGAGAATCCACAAAAAAAATGGCTGTACTAACTCCTCCAACCAACAATGAAAGCGAGAAGGATAAACCCGGACAAATTCTCATAAAAGCGACACCCTCTAATTTAATCTAATTAGTATCTGCAGATGATCAGAAAACCAATACCGGTAATGCAGCAATCCAATGCCCAAAACTAGAACATGACCAAACCTTGTCTTAGACTCAGTTAAGTCACACGATCCGTCAAGGAGAGTTGTTAGTGGCTGGTCGGAAGCGACTCACGAATCACTAAACAAACTAAATGCAAAGGAGGAAGTCCAAAGCCAGACCACACAAAACCAGACAAGGTGAAGTGAAACTAAAACCACGATAGCTGCTAAAAGAGGAAGTCATCGAGTCAACAAGGTCCTCGTCGGAAAGCAAATAACCAGTCCTCAAAGCCGTGGATGACCAGGTCCAAATTGCCATAACAGAACCACCATTAAACACGCCTTCCAACTCCTCTRAAACAGACAGGCRAAGCAAGAGAATCAAACCCGACACTGAAAACACTCAACCAAAGAGAGCAATCGGACGGCCACAACCAAAATAGAAACACTCTCATTCACCGACACTRGAAATCTCAAAGAGCCATTGCCCTAGGAGACAACAACGGTCTTCCGAGTGATGAGATATGCTTCTCCACCGGAGTTACAACC